AAAAGGCTGGAATTATCACAGCAAAGAGATCCCTCAGTGCCAACAGCAGACATCAAAGCAGCCACTCAGAGGCTTCAAAGGGTCCCTGGTGACACGGCAGCCCCTGGGGACAGGGATGAAGCCACTTCTGCTTAACTGAGCCCTTGTCCCCTGCGAGAGAGCAGCAAACCCCAGTGTAGTCCTGCTGCTCCCTGGCTGCTCCTAAAACCAAAGAGAGAGCTGCTCCTAAAACCTAAACATTTCACCCCGTGGGCTGGGGCTCATCACCAGCTCTGCCCTCCCTGCACAACAAACACAATGTGGTCCTGATCTCCCTGGCACAGAGAGCCCCCAATAACCAAACATTTCACCCCATGGGCTGGGGTTCATTCCCTGCCCTCCCTGCACAGTTAACACAGCGTGGTCCTGATCTCCCTGGCACAGAACTGCTCCAATAACCAAACATTTCACCCCATGGGCTGGGGTTCATTCCCTGCCCTCCCTGCACAGTTAACACAGCGTGGTCCTGATCTCCCTGGCACAGAACTGCTCCAATAACCAAACATTTCACCCCTGGGGCTGGGGCTCATCACCAGCTCTGCCCTCCTTGCAGAGCCCTGTGCCAGCCCCACCTGCTGTGCTGGTGGCACTGCTGGCTGGGGGAGCCCCCCCTGCCAGGTAATTATGTGGAACACGATTGTGGCCCTGGGCTCCTCCTGCTCAGTGTTTGCAATTAGGTTTTACTACAAAAGTACATATTAACATTAAAGGAGCATTACAATGCAGCAAATGTGATAAAGCAGAGCCACCGTTACTGCACCTTCTGCTTCTGTTCTTCCAAGAATCATAATCACCGTTAATTTATGGTCTTCTGAGGAGCATCTAATTACGGCAATCAGCGCCTGTTTCACTCTGGGTGTGCACGTATGCTCCTCCCTGCCTTTCTATCCTGCCCCGGCTGCACACAGACCAGGCCTGCATCCTCAGTGGCCCGACAGCCTCCCTTTGCCTGGCAGTGCTGGGGCAATCCGTGCCAGGACCCAGCAGAGGCAGGAACCCCTTCCCGAGAGCCCTGCTGGGGATTACAGCACTCTGGGGAACCTGTTCATTCCCAAATGTCTTTGCTTTTCCAGGACACCATGTGAGGAGCAGAGGCTCCTTCCCCAGCCATCCCTGGCACAGCAACTCCAGTGCCAACTCCAGAACCTTCCCCAAACTCCAGTGCCAGCCCCAGAACCTTCCCAAACCCCAGGGCCAACTCCAGATCTATTCCCAAACTCCAGTGCCAGCTCCAGAACCTTCCCAAACTCCAGAGCCAGATCTCCCCTTCTCCTGCTGCCCCTGAGTGTGAGCTGGGGCACACCCACAGTCCCAGGTGCCCAATTCAGGCACCAAGGTTTCCTTGCCATTTTTCTTTTCCTTTTGCAGCCTTGGTGGCAGAGGGAGCTGTGCCAGAGCTCCTGGTGACTCCCTGAGCACTGGGAACCAGCCCAGGCAGCAATATTCTGTATTTTCCTGGGTGTTCTCTCCTCCAGGAGCCTCAGGGGCCACAGCCCAGCATAGCCAGGGGTGCTGGGTCTGTGGGTGTCTGTTCAGGAACAAAGCTGCCCCCAGAGCACCAGGGAAGGGAAAGCAGGAGAACAGAGACCAACAGCTCAGAACCTGGATTCCTGCAGCACTTCAATGACACAGATGGAAATGCTGAGCTCCTGCTGAGGGTTAAACCACTGGCAGCAGTGACACCTCCAGAACCTTCCAATCTGGCTGGGGTGTGACTGCTCAGAGCCCCCCTTCCCATGGGGGAGGCCAATGAGTGCAGGAGGTAACAAAGGAAATCTCACTGAGAACTTTACCCAGGAGCCGGGCTTGGAATTTTTGTTCAGTTCTGCAGAAATTAGAACTGAAACCCTACAGACACTCAAAGGTTTTCACAAGGGTTTTTATAGATTTTTCAGCAGTGTTGTTGTATAACCTGATAAAAACCTAGGCCAGGATCACCTTTGTAGTGAAGGTCATCAGCCTTCCAAAAATTCCACTGAGTATTTCAGAGAACACCTAATTTCTCCTCAATTAAAGGTGGAGCTCCAGTACTCACAGAAGTGGATTTTCTGGAGTACCCTGTGCTTTGAGGCTCTCCAGAGCTCGTGGAGGTCAGAACTGCCTGAGCTGAAGCTGCTCCTCAGTTCAGGCTTGGCTCAGGACAGCTCCAGTGCCAGATCCCCAAACTCCAGGCTGCTCTCAGGGACACAGCCCAGGCTGGATGGAATTAGGAACTTCAGCATCTGAACATGCAGATAACGAACTGAAAGTGCGTCAATGAGAAATTCCTGGTGTCAGAATCCTCCTTCAAACAAAAATGATTAAAAATTGAAACAAAAGCTGCAATGCACAAGAGCTGTCCCTGGGAGAGCCCCAAATCATGGCAGAGCCAGGCACATTCCCTGGGAGCCTCAGAGCCTGGGTTCCTCCACCACCCCACACTGTGAAACGCCAACAAATCTTGCATTAAATTCCTCATAACTCCCAAATCCACACATGCAGGGTTGCTATAGCAACTGTCAGCCCAAGCCTTCCCAAGGGAGAAAATAAACGTGTGTCCTATCTGGCTAATTGGTATTTGTGTTACACAGAATTGAAGGGTAACTTAGTTCCACCAAAAAATAGAACAGAGGCTGAAGTGCTCCTGTGCTAATGTGACATTATTTAATCTGAACAAGGACCCATTTTGCATGTGCCTTCAAATTATAGTATTTATGGAACACTCAACACAATAAGTAAAAGTGTTGCTGCCAAACATGCCTGACTTGCCCTGCTTATTGATTTGAATAAAAGGGGCACTGAAAAAAAATAGAGAAACAAGAAGGGAGGTGAAGAGCTGATGGGATTAGGCACCTCAAATTACATTTCAAAACCTACACAACCCCAAAAAACCCCAACAGTTTACAAGTGAAAGTTATGCAGAAATAAGCTGATGGAAGGTGACAGCTCTTTTCCCCATTTCACCTTTTCCCCATTTCTCATCACTGCAGCAAGAGCAAAGCTCCCAGGCAGGATAACCACAGTGGCTGAACAGCAGGCACCCCTCACTCAGAGGCACAGCTAGAACTTTTCGAACCTGATAAAAGCCCTGAAGATCATTCAGGTGAAGAGCCCCACTGGCAGGATGTATTTCAGGGGCACTCTGGCAGTTCTCACTGGCTTGCAAACATCCAGCAATGCGTTTGTTTAATCTCAGCACAATTACTAAATAAAAGCAATCAGAGCTCTGAGGCAGCAGAACATCTATGGAACATGAAAAGATAACAATGACATCTCTGTCTCCATCAGCCCAATGACACACTCTGAGAAAATGAGATTTTGGGGGAATATTCAGCTTCCCTGGGCACCCTGGGCCTCCCCACCCTCACAGGGTGGAGTGCCTTCTGTATATCCAGTGTAATCTCCCCTCCTTCAGCTGAAAGCCACAGTGGCTTTCCATCAAGTGCACTCTAAAGGAAGGACCTGTCTGAGCAGGGACAGCACAAGCCCTGCCCCAGAGCTGGCACAGCATTTTCAGGATACGCAATCCATCCAGGATAACACAGCCCAGAGCTGCACAGTGCCCAGGCAGGGAGAGCAGGACACACAGTACAGGATAACGCAGCCCATAAATCACAGCTGAGCCATAAATCACAGCCAGCCACACCTCCTCTCCATTTCTGATGTGGACAAAGAAACAGGGTGAGGGAACTCAAGCTGTAAAAACGTCTGAAATCTGCTTTTACCATGTGCCACCTCTCCTGCTCCTCATGGCTCATCTCCATCCTGGAGAATCTCAGATTTCTGGCCTCCCTCCACCTGCTGCAGCAGCTCCTGCTTGAATTATTCACCTTTTATGAATTACCTGAAGCACTTTGCTAGGGTTTGGTTTTTTGTTGTTGGAGGTGTTATTCTCTGCCCTGAACAAGGCAGGTGCTTACAATATGCCTTCCACCCAACAACATTATGCTTGTATTTATCGATAGAATAAAATAAATCCATCCCCTGGAACCCCAGTGTTATATATAACCCCATTGCTCAGCTGAAGGGATCGTGCTGCATGAGACTTTCCAGCAGGTGCAATTTCCATTTCAGCAGACGTGTGTGCCTCAGCTAAGGCACAATATTTTCCAGAGGGAATATCTGACAGGAAATCAGCGGCAGGCACCAAAAAGCACAATCCCTGCACCCCCACCCAAAAGGAGTGCCAGAATAGGAGGAAAAGCAGCAAAACTCCTGCAGCACAGCCCTGGGCAGGGCAGGGAGAGCCCCAGGAGCAGGGAGTGGGCACCGAGCCTGGTCACAGAGCCCAGGAGCTGCACAGCCCTGTGGGGACATGGGGACAGGGACACGGGGACAGGGACACGGGCTGGGCTGGGGTGGAGGGGTGAAACAGACTGACAGCAGCTCAGGACAGCCCAGTATCACCACTGCTCTCTAAATACTGGACGTGGTGGTGTTTGCCAAATCCCTCTGAAATGACAGCTTTTCTCCAGGTGAATCTGCATCATGGAGCATCAGCTGGAGCCGCGGGGCTCAGCCCCTGGAGCTCAGGACAGACCTTTACACCGTGGTGTAAATGTGTCCTGGGGCTGTTTGTGAGCAGAGCACCCATCACACTCCACACTGCCCTCAGCTCCAGAGGCACAGGAGCCCACCTGGGTATTTTTTTGACAGTTCTCTTGCTTACATCTTGTATTCAAAGTGATTTAGTTAGGAGATGCCTCTTTGTGGGTAATATGACAGCTAATTCCCACTTATCCTCCTGTAAAGAAACAATTGAAATAGATGCAACAATAAAACTAATGGCTAACGTGATTGCTATTGATCATTTGCCAGTTCTTTAAATGAATGGCCCACGAGCTAAACGGGGAAAGGAAAACAGTGCCACAGATTGCCCTGAGTCAGGAAGGAGCGGCTGGAGAGCTCAGCTGGAAATCCACGGAAAGCTGAGCACCAGCACGTGGCTGCAAGCACAGCGGATCCTGGGCACTCTCACCTACCTTTTCTGCTGACTGGGCAGTGCCAAAAAATATTGGAATGAAGGCAAGCCATACTATACAGGTAGTGTACATAGTGAATCCAATGGGTTTGGCTTCGTTAAAATTCTCCGGGACACCCCGAGTCTTGATGGCATACACAGTGCACGTCACCATGAGCAGAATGCTATAGCCCAAGGAACAAATGATTTGTAGATCCGTAATGTCACACTTGAGCACTCCTCGCGCCTGCTCGGGGTTCATAGTTTTCTGCTCATCGTAATCCACGATGATGTTGGGCGGGTCCACCGCGAACCAGATGAAGACGCCCAGGAGCTGGACGGAGATGAGGCTGGAGGCGATGGCCAGCTGCGAGGTGGGGCTGATCAGCCGCGGCGCCGTCACCGACTTCTTGCCCTGCTCGAAGATGCGGTAGATGCGGTTGGTCTTGGTGAGCAGCGCCGCGTAGCTGATGCACATGCCCAGCCCCAGGAAGATCCTGCGGAAGGAGCAGACGGCCACGTCGGGCTTGGCGATCATCAGGAAGGTGATGATGTAGCACAGGAAGATGCCCGTCAGCAGCACGTAGCTGAGCTCGCGGCCCGAGGCGCGCACGATCGGCGTGTCGTTGTAGCGGATGAAGGTGGCCACCACGAAGATGGTGGCCACGATGCCCAGCATGGCCAGGAAGACGGGGATGACGGCCCAGGGCGAGTGCCACTCCAGCTTGATGATGGGGATGGAGCGGCAGCCGGTGCGGTTCTCGTTGGGCCGCTCGTTGTAGGAGCAGAGCAGGCAGGTGACCTCGTCGGCCTGGTACTGGTACCCGTCACACAGCTCGCAGTGCCAGCAGCACGGCATGCCCTTCACCATCTTCTTCCTCTCGCCCGGCCGGCACGGCTGGCTGCACACCGAGGAGGGCACGGCACGCACGCCCCCGCCCCACTGCATCTCCTCGATCTGTGGGACAGGGACAAACAGGGTCAGGGTTAGGCCTGGCTTAGGCCTGGCTGCACACCGAGGGGGGCACAGAACACACATCCCCGCCCCACTGCATCTCCTCGATCTGTGGGATGGGACAAACAGGGTCAGGGTTAGGCCTGGCTTAGGGCTGGCTTAGGCCTGGCTGCACACCGAGGGGGGCACGGCACGCACGCCCCCGCCCCACTGCATCTCCTCGATCTGTGGGATGGGACAAACAGGTCAGGGTTAGGCCTGGTTTAGGCCTGGCTGCACACCGAGGGGGGCACAGAACACACATCCCCGCCCCACTGCATCTCCTTGATCTGTGGGACAGGGACAAACAGGGTCAGGGTTAGGCCTGGTTTAGGGCTGGCTGCACACACACAGCACGCCTCCACCCCACTGCATCTCCTCGATCTGTGGGACAGGGACAAACAGGTCAGGGTTAGGCCTGGTTTAGGCCTGGCTGCACACCGAGGGGGGCACAGAACACACATCCCCGCCCCACTGCATCTCCTCGATCTGTGGGACAGGACACAAACAGGCTCGGGGTTAGGCCTGGCTTAGGGCTGGTTTGGAGCTGGTTTAGGGCTGACTGCACACTGAGAGGGGCACAGAACACACAGCCCTGCCCCACTGCATCTCCTTGATCTGTGGGATGGGACAAACAGGGTCAGGGTTAGGCCTGGCTTAGGGCTGGCTGCACACTGACGGGGGCACGGCCCACACCCCACCACATCTCGTCAATCTGTGGGACAGGACACAAACAGGCTCGGGGTTAAGGCTGGCAGCCACAGACATGAGCTGGGAATGAAGGGAGGGAACTCAGGGGAGCCCCAACACACAAACCCTGAGTGGATAAAGTTCCCATGGGCAGAGTCCCAGAACCACACCCTGGGGCCTCTGTGTGAGCCCTAACTGTGCTCACTGCCTCCATTTTTCATTTCTATTGCTCGCTAAGTCTGATGGAATGACATCCAAGCACAGATAAACCACGTGAGAATTATAACAACACTGCAAACCTCAAGGGAAGGCAGGACTTAGACTTGCAAGGCTGCTTCCCACAAACCTTGGGGCTTCTTACCAAGACAGAGCAGAGATCTCCCCTCCTGGAACTGCTACTGACCAGGGGAAGGTGTGAAATGAGGTGGGAATGTGTTTCTATAGGGCACGGGATCAGTGAGAATGGGGGAAGGTCTGCCACACGAGCCAGGAGAGAAATATGAAGGACAAAGAAAATGGTCATCACTGAAAAAAGCAATAATTAGATAATATTTCATTTCAAAGTCACATTCAGCTTTTGAAATACCACATGTGCTTCTGGGAATGCAAATGATAAATGATTACATTAAATACATGGAAAGTCTCACTTACTCTGCAGTCTGGAGAGTCCTGAACCCCAAGGCAGGCAACAAAGGCTCCCGAGGACTGTGGAAAACTGGACTCACAAATCATTTCAAATGTGCCTGACTAAAGCCACTCCCCAGCCTCCAAGGACAAGGAAGGTTTAGATTGGAGTCCCAGGATAGATGTGAGTAAGTGTCATTAAAAACAACATTTCAGCTATTTTTCCTTAGGTCACTTAAGTGCTGACAAGCTCCATGATTTTCCCTACAAGCAGTCAAAGTTCTCAGATGAGTTCCTTGAATCAGCTGCCTTAATTATTCATACAGACAGGAAGACTTGGATGGGCAAGTCTTAAATTTAAGAATTAACTTGCACTTTCCTAATTGAAATCAAAATAGATCCTGTATCATCTTCCTTTTATATTTGTGAAAACACAAACCCTGAAGTTGTCACACTCTGCTCACACACTGGAGTACCAAGAGTCTTTCTGTGAATGCTGTAAAAATAATCCCTCAATAATGAGAGATATTCTAGAGGTCTGCTCCTGAAAAGAGGGATTGGATCCCTGCATCCCTGGGAAGGAAGGATGCTCTCCCTGCTCCCACACATCCCCAGCTCCTGAATGCCTCCAGCAAGAAGGACTGCATCCACTCCCAATATACATTCTCATTATGTTCACTATAGAACAAACATTAACAAGAAATGCTTAGTCTGTCTCATAAGGCCTAATGTAATTGTTCATGTTAATGAATAAAGTAACTCAATATCTGGGGATAATTCAAACATTGCTGCTTTGCTTCCCTCCGCCACAAACATTTCCACAATAAGCCATTTGTTCTGAACTTAATTGTTTCGTGCAATGTTTGATTAAAATAAAAATCAGTACAAAAATAATTACATTAGTGGTAATTAACCTACTCAGGGAAGAAAATAGCCACGTTCCCTGATCCCACTTTCATAATGATGGTGCCATTAATTTCAGGGACACACAGCAGCCAGCGGCGAGGACTGGGCTCAGATTTATTGCCACCTCCAGACTGCAGCTCCTAACTCAGCACTTCAGACATTTGTGTATATTCCACTTTGCAGACAGCAATATTTGCATGACTTAGCTCTTCAGGCTCAGCTATTAATGTCTTGTAATTAGCTTCTAAATCCAGGGATTTACCGCGATAATGGTTTTAAGCTAAGAATATGTCAATAACACATCCTCGGCAGAGTCTTCTGCAAAATATCAACTGAAATCCCTGAAGAGATAACAGCGGTGATAAGCCCGAGTGCCAGAGAGGATGCAGAGCTGCTCCACGCCTGGCCCAGACACGGTGCCTCACACCACAGAGCTCCTTTTCATTTCCCTGCCTGCAGGGAGTGCTGGGGAAGCCTTGCCCAGCACTGAGCCTGCAAGGGGTGGAGGAAAAACCCCAGTTCTGGCTCTGCACTGAGCAGAGCAGCCCTAACACCTCCGCAGGATAACACACAATTCCCAGAGACTCCAAACCCCCTCTCGAAACAGGATTGTTCCTGCAGCAGCAGCAGCACGTGAGCTCTGGGAAGAGCCATGCAGTGGGAACTCACAATGCTCCATCTCACTCCATTATCCCATCCCATCCCTTTCCATCCCATCATCCCATGCCATGCCATGATCCCATCCTATTATCTCACCCCAAAATCCCACCCCATTTTCCAATTATCCCAGCCCATTCCATCCCATGGATCCCATTATCCCATCCCTCAATCCCATGGATCCCATCCCAAAATCCCATCCCATTATCCCATTATCTCAGCCCATTCCATTCCATCCCACGGATCCCATTATCCCATCCCACAATCCCATTATCCCATCCCATTATCCCAGCCCCTCCATGGGGTCCCCAGCACAGTCCCAGCCCAGCCCCTGGGTGCTCCCTGCTCCTCCCAAAGCCACCCCAGCACTGCTCTGTCACCCCAGAAGGGGCAGAGCTCTCTCCCACCTCCTCTTTGGGGTTCCCACAAGAATCAATTCTCAACCCTCCTTTATTTCCCTTTAATTTCTACTCCTCCTTTGTCTTTTGTCACCTTTTTCCAGCAGCACTGAGAACTCTCAGAGCACCATCTTTAATGAGATCCAAGGGCCATTTGTTCTACATTAAAGCAAGGACATTGCCAGCACACCACTGATGGAGGGAAAAATGCTTAATCCACAGTTTTTGCAAAAATGCTTATTATTATGCATTTCTGTTGACGCACAATAAAATGGAAAATTAATTATTTTAATGCTTTTATATCTGCCTACAGCTTTGTGTTGTCTTCTCACTAATGGAAGGGGGTGGACCATGCATCTTCAGTATTCATCCTGCAGCCCCTGCATAATATTTTATTAATTGAAAAAAGAGCATGTGCTTCCAAATGTGTATTTATAACACACAGCTCTTGTCTCTTTAAATGGATAGGTTAGGGCAAAACTATCTTCTGAAAGCAGAGCTAATCCAAGACAACTTTTTATCCTAAAGTGGCTTAGAACGAGGGAAAATCTGAATTATCCCAGAATCCCAAACTGGTTTGGACATCAAAGCCCACCCAGTGCCACCCTGCCATGGCAGGGACACCTCCCACTGTCCCAGGTGCTCCAGCCCCAGTGTCCAGCCATTATTGTCCATCCTGTGAACAACTAGCTGGGGACACTCTGAACTCCACATCACACCTCTGATATTGCAGTCCTGCCGCAGAAATCAGTGCTCAAGGACATTTAATAGATTATTTCTGACCCACTCCACACATGTGGCCTGTCAGGAACTCTGTGCCCTGCTCAAACACTGCAACTCCGAGGGCTGCTCACACGGGCTGATGTGAGCAGAGCTCTCAATCAGCTTTGTGGGATTTCTCTCGGCTCCCTGAAGCAAACAGGCACAATCTGACACATCTGTCATCATTTCTGCTCCACCACCCTCGGCACTGGCATCCGTGTGGGACCAGAATTTCATTTTGCAAACACAGCTGGGTCATGTTGGGGATCTACAGAAGCAGCTCGAAGCCAAGAGCTCCCAGAGCTGCTCATGCAGTTTATTAAAGGAGTTTGCTTGCAGATTTGATCAACACAAATGGAGACAAAGCAGCAAGGTTTGGCTGCTGTAATTGTCACCGGGCTCTTGGCACCGCTGGCAGGTGCCAGCCCCCGATGTGCCACTGGAACCTGGGGCAGCTGCAGTCCCTGCAGCCCTGCTGAGTGCCCCAGGGCTGGCAGGCAGTGCCAGGCTCTCAGCACTCACGGGGACGGGGATGTTCAGCTGCCACCTCCTCCCAGAGTGACAAACAGGGGGAGGTGGGAAAGGAGACCCCAAACAGGGAACAGCACGGGGGCCTGGGGGTGCCCTGCAGACACAAAGCCCACACTGCTGACACCCCTCCCAGACAGAAAGCACTCTCACATTGCTGTGCAGGACTGGGGGTTTCAACCTCAGTCCCTCCTGGAGCAGGAGCAACCAGCACATGGCCATTCTGCAGGCCAGTGGTTTGCAAAGCCCCCTTCCCTTGGCTGTGAGCTCCTGCGGCAAGTTGAGACCATTAAAGGTGTTTGTGCTGCTCAGGGCTGACACGAGCAATGAGAGATTGCAAAATTTAACCAGGGAACAAAATAAACAACACCCACTCCTGCAGCACACGGCAGGGCTGCT